GTGTGTAGAGGTAATGCATGTAAGAGAAGTACTCTGATGTGGCAGACTGAGTAAGAAGATCTAAGCAGATATTGGTAAGATACATAACACAAAAACAAAGACATCAGCTAGAGAAGAAGGACAAGATGGTATTTTTTTTCTTCATTGCAGAAAATTACTTTCATGTAGTATACAAGGTTTAGAGACAGTAGTATTTGAATGTCTGTGGAGAGAATTTTCTTACTCTTTTTCGAAACAGTATTAATTCCTGAAATATAGTTAACTTTTTTTTAGGAATCTGGAATGAATGTTAATTTTGGCATATAACCTCGATGCTTTTGTGCATAATTCAAAATGCGTCTTGAGCTTGTGGTGGTTAAAATTGAATTACAATCCAAATGGGCAGTTTGCCTGTGCAATCTGAGGTAAATTGTGTAGGCAAACATAACAAGGCAGACTATGATTGAAATATCTTTTGAATTCATTCTTAGTAGATAGTAATCATGAAATGTGTTTATCACGGTTGGTTGTACTACTCAAAACATTCAGAAAGGTGACTCCAAATGCATTTTACTTCAACTGCTATGGGCATATTTATATTAACTTTCAAACTGACATAATTATTCAGTTTTGTCTCTACACTATTTAGCAGTGTCATTTGTTTTCTCTTTGTTACATTGCCTTGTGCACTGGGTATTAATATGTGTTTCTTAAAGGATAGACCCCTGGAGTTGTCTGGCTTGAAGCAGTATTGTCTCCAAAACCAAGCACTATGAAGCTGAAGGTTTGTTTTAGGTGTTCTTAAAAGTTTTAAAATAAGGAGGGGATGCTACTATGAAAGACATGGATTATGTCCTTGGCAGGAGACTGTAGATGGTATGGTAGACAGTGTTAATAGGAGTTGAGATACCCTGTATCCCATTTTTTCATTACTTTCCTCCTGAAGCTCAATGTTAAACTCAGAGAAAGGTGTATTCCCTTTCGTTACAAGTAAGTAAAAGATTAGACATAATTGTGCTGAGTAAAACTAAGTTTTTGAGTCCTTTCCCCAGTTCAATGTGGTACATTGCTGTGGGAATGCAACAGTGATGGGTAAAGTAGGATATCACAGTAGGATATTGCATTTAGAAATGCATACCACCAAACAACAGTAACTAAGTATCACTATTTTACAAAATCTGTAGCAAAAAAAAAAATATTCTTATGTTCCTCTGATTTCTGCTGTACATTCCGAGTCTCTTTTCTTTGGAGCTGGATGCTGTTAACTAGTGCTTTTCTGCCCTTGGTGGGGAAGGGACTGACAGTAAGCTCTGTTCTGCCCTCTCCTTTCTGTTTTCCTGGCTCTAAATGAAGTTTCTAGCAGAATCAACTTGTGCTTATGGAGATCAGTGGATCCTGGCAAGAAGCTCTGCTGAAATAAGGTGCCTGTAGCTGCATTGATGGGGCAGCACTCCATAGGAAAGGCACAGGTGCCTCACCCTAGGAACATTAGGCTAATGAGGCCCATCAGAGTGTTGATCTTCTTACTAACCTTTCTACTTCTATGTTTTTTAGAAAGAGGGCTATATTTAATACTGATAGTATTATAATCATCATTATTATTATTTATTTATTATTATTATTACTATTGGAGTACACAGTGCTCAGCTTTTGCCTTTGTTACTTATCATAGAAGCCTTTTGCAGAAAGTACTGTTAGAAAGAGCAACACTTGGAAACAGTGTTAACTTCAGTTTCCGTCAAGTATCAGTAAGTTAGTGGTTGATGGCAGCAATTATTAATGCCCTTTCCTTTGGATAGTACAACTTGTTGAATGGATACTTTTGTTAGTATTTGACTAGTTGGAAGGAATCATGATACTTAGCATTTGCGGGTAAAATCAGGGATAGCACTTAGACCAGGAGACAATTATGTCCATCCCTGCCAGAATAACCTTCTGGCTCTGAGACTTTTCATTTGTGCTGTCTGCACTTATCACAACAATGCTAGTAAAAAGCCAAATGCTGTAGCCTGCTTGATGTAGAAGTACACTGTGCCTGCACAAGAGTTCTCAGTATGGGGACAGGGGGAGGAGAGGATCCCCTCCAACTAACAAGCATTAGAGCTGCAGCTGTGAAAAATCATCTTATCATAAATTCCTCTTTTTTGGACTTCATACTATCATTTAAATGTCTGTACTGCCAACTTCTGTCATGTCCAGTAACAAACTGGCAAGATAGTCTGGGTGGTCCTTACTTAATCCTCAGGTCTGAAAGAGCTGTATTATGAATAAAACACAGGGATTCAGTTGAGCTTTTTTCTTAGCTGTGCTTTTAGTGCGTTTTCAGACTTGTCAAGTTTGTGTCCATAGTGTTTGCATTTAGTACACATATATAACACATGTAGAGTATATAACTTTACATACAGTGTAGTTCTTGCTGCTCTTCACTTGTGTTTCTGTGGTGTGCACCTTCATGGAGAATGTGCTGTGACTATCCGTAACTGATGGCTTCTCTTTTTTTCTTCTCCAGGTCATCTAAATGCAATTTTGTGGTTGTAGAGCTAGTGCTGATAAAGCAAGTCTGAATACTTTTTAAAAAGGCCTTCAGACACTATGAATACTTAAAACACTGTGGAGCTGGCAAGTCACTAGTATCGTAATGTGTTACTTGCATATACTTGGAATTTCTATGAAGTTTCAACTCCCATTTCACATTTTTCCCCTCTCAAGAGTTTATCCTTCTCAAACCTGTCTTCAGTTAATGTAAACAGGCATCCTTTGAGTCAGGATTTGTTTTACCAGGACCTTGTAGGAACTATTGCATTCTTACCACTAAATATCATTATTAAATCTCATGTGCTCACACACAGCCATCATTCTTGCACTTTGAGTAGCAGTGGCATTTTCTGTTTGCTTGGGGATTCTTGGTTATGTCTGCAGGAATCTTTGACTGTTTGGAAATAATTTTTTGGCCAAGCTGAGCACTTGTGTATCTGCTGTTGATCACCTACCCAGATGAAAAGAAGTAATCTTATAATGAAGCTGCATTGGTTTTTGCCCGAATTTCCTTTTTTTTTTTTTTTTTTTTCCCAGTGCTGCAGAAAGTTGTGTTGCTTTTCCTCCCCCCAGCTTGTCATCCTTGTTTTCTTAACTGTACTTAGTAGCTGGCTTGTGTGACACAAATAAGTATACGGCAAACTAATTTAGTTGTAAGCTCAATATAGGAAGCTTAGAAAGGCCGAGGACATCAACATTTATGGTATGTTGTTATTATTAGGTGGCAAAAACTACAGTAAGACTCCGTAGGTTTTATCTGAATAAGTTGATTTTAGTAACCAGAGAATTTTCCTAGTTGTAAATATCTTGCTGGTTGAAAATAGTTTTTTGAAATAAAGAAAGAAAATGGAAGTCAAAATGTGCTTGAGTTGGTTTAGTTGTACCACTATTAGTTTTCAGGCTGGCCACTGTGCAGCATCATGAGATTGTATGTGTGGAATTTCTAGTCTTACATGGTAACACATGAAGTTGATGTGCCATTTCGTTGTAAAAATAAGTTTTGCTTTACCATGATGATACAGAGAATATAGTCATAAAACTGAATTATGGAGAGTATTTTGATTTCTGATAACTTCTGAATGTTTGTTTCATCATCCTCAGAAATTTTGATTTTTGAAGGATCAAGCATGGAGCTTTCCAGTATGTGGGTGCAGGCCAATAATTGGAAATTTGAAGCCTGCGATTTAAAAATAAAGCAAAATTCCATACTCGCTAGTTTTGATAATTAACAAGAGGTTAATATGTGAACATCTGCTTTAATTCATAATGCTTTAGTCATCTGTATCTATTGGCTTTTGTTTCATGTTTTGTTTCAGACTTTTTTTTCTTATCCATCTTTAATTCTAGAACAACCAGAGAATGGTAATGATGCTACTGAATTGGGCAACTTTATCATACCTGAGATTAGTGTCACAAGTGTGGCTGGAGAGAGGACCGGGAATGGGGAAAAGAGCAGAGCACTAGCAGAGAATGATGTTCAGCATTTACAGGGAGTACAGGAAACAGCTACAGATCCTAGAACTGACAGCAAAGGCATGCCAGAAATCAGGAGGCAAAAATCTGTAAGAAAAATGATGGAGGATGGAATAAACTCATCTGGCAGAGTGCAGTTTTAGCTGCACTCTAAGGTACCATTGTTGATTGAAAGGGTCACTGCTGCATGTTTGAAGAATTAAAGTATGCCGTTAATCTATTTGCATGTGTAATAACACAAATGCATGTATTGCACACAGCTTCGTCTGTGCCACAGACAATGACAACATACTTACTAGTAGATTTATTTAATCTGGAGAAAATATACTGTGAGACTTAACATACCTTTGAGTTTATTAAGCATATTTATTGGGTTTACAAATCCAGTGATCAATGGTATGAAGAATACATCCAAATGGATGTGAAAAGTACCTTGCTGTATACCTCAGATTTCCCAAATTCCACCTTTCACAGAATACTGGATATCTCATGTTGTGCTTGAGTTTCCAACTCATACCACCAGATCTATGATGTAGAAGGTGAACTTTCAGTCCTAAAGCATTCTTGGGTTGCTACATGTGCAGGTGCCATGTTGGGCATCTTGGGACATTGATCACATACCTTTATAATTAACGAGTTTTGCAAAATCATGTATTGGAGCACTTGCTCAAAGTAAGATTTACATTTCTTTTTGTGTGGTATCTTCTAATCTATAAATTTCTAATCTCTTGCATGAATTAACAAGATTGCATTTTTTTTTTCTCAAAATGACTGCAAAATGAGATTGTGGGCATGCTTTTTGATCTAGTTAATGCAGCATTATTTGCTGTGACTTTATATCTTAATGAACCTTAATTCCAAAATGTAGTGGAATAGGTAAGTGTTTTCTCTTCTCTGTTCTGTTGCTTTATGGCTTTATGCTTGTCAATATCAAAATCTAGCAATACATAAAAGCAATTGGCTTTCTCACTTTTATTGATAATTCTTTTTTTTTTTCTTTTTCTACCATGCAGACAATGCTGACTTAGCAATTCAAGAAGAACTGATAGAAGTATCTGAAACTGATGACGGGTTTTACTCTCGGGCTACTTCTAGTACAAGTCAGTCAGCCTTATCTAACAGCAGCAACACGAGCAGTAAGAACCTTTTAGGGAAGAGCCAACGAAGGTCTGGAGGAAGCAAAACTGGAGGGAAAGAAAAAGAAGGAGAAACCTGCAGAGAACACTTGTCACGAAAACAGACTCAGAGGGCTATGAGTGAGAATCTAGAGCTTGTTTCTCTGAAGAGACTGACACTGACAACTAGCCAGTCCCTGCCTAAACCTGGCAGCCATAGTCTGGCCAGAACGACTACTACTGTGTTTAGTAAATCCTTTGAACAGGTCAGTGGTGTCACAGTTCCAAATAATCGTGCTGGTGTATCTGGTACAGAGGCCAACAGGTTTTCAGCTTGCAGTCTTCAGGAGGAAAAACTCATATATGGAACAGAAAGAACAGATCTTCCAATTTTAAGCAAACAACCTAATCAGCAGCGACCTCCTAGTATTAGCATAACTTTGTCAACAGACTGATATCATTAAATTGGCAAGTATAAAAGATAAAATATGGATGTTTTTGTTGCTATTGGTACACTGGTACATTAACCTCCTTAATATGCTATACTTTACTTTCTTAAACCTCAAGCCCATAAATTCTTATTTGGCTCACATTTTACAGTAAAAGTGACTAGACAACAGTTGTAATTATTTTGCATCAACTTCTAATAGTTTGGAAAGTCCCTTTTTGACTTACTGTATTTATACTCCTGATGGCTTATGGCTTCATGTGAAGTTTACAGCTTCACCAATTTAACAAGCATTGCTTGGTTGTTTAGCCACTGACCGAGATGTGTGGTTTTTTACAAATGCACAGAATGGGAACAAATAGGGTCTCTTTCCCAGATTCTGCTTTTCACTACCACTTGGCATAGGTAAAACTGCAAGTACTTGCTTTATTTAAGAGGAGTCTTGCAGGATGGGCATGAAGTTTTGGAACAGCATTGTAAAAACATAAATGTTCTCTTACATTAGCCATGAGAAAGCTGTGCTTATGTGTAAAAGTTAAAACTAGCAGCATCAGTTCAGTGTTTGTTATGGCGGTTTTTGTCATGGTAGTTAGTACACATTGCAATGTTCATAATTCTTTGTGCCTAGATGAGTCTGAATAATAGATGCTTTTTGTTTTTTCTGTACAGTTTTGAAACTGGGCCAAAAGTCATACAGCAGTGGTACTTGTGGATGGGAGTTCTGATCAGTTGCTATAATGGTCATTCTTTAGACTACAAATTGTGTGACAGACTCTCTCTTTCAGATCCTTAAATATCAGGCACAAAGCTACTCATTGAAAAGTTGCTATCATCAGTATTTTTATTATTTATGGGGAAGAGATGTGCTTATGTAATGATGTTATATAGGAAATCAGGTATGAGCCCTTTGCACTGAATCAAGCAAATCAGGAGTGTGAATGTGTTTAACATGAACTTGAGGCTAAGAGAATACTACCAAAGGATGTGTACTTTCAGTAACTTGCAAGCACAAAGGGAAATTATAATGTAAATATAACTAGCACTGTAATTGCTAGTCTTTTATATCTAGTATTTTTCTAGCTTGAAATTCTAAACAGCAGCCTGTTTTCAAGGTTACCTAACCTTTAACCTTCAGTTAGTTTAGTGACCTTGTTTGATACCAGCTTTTGTAATGTTAAGATTTTAATTAAAAATGAACATTAAAACTGCTTATGCAGACATTTGGAGAAGCAATAGCTGACAAAACCACTCTGAGAGCAGTGATTAGCTGATAAACAGACAGTATGTTGTTATGACTGGAGAAATAAGATGAGGATCTAAGGCATAGTCATTCCCAACTGTCCAGATTTCTGCAGCTAGTAGTCCCTTATTGTCAAGAACCTGGTAACAGAACAAACACTAAAATTCTGGTAGACCTTCCTGTTTTCCTGCATATAAGTTTATGTATCAATTTTTGACTTTAACTGAAGCACAACTAACTTTTAAGCAGCTGATGTTATCCAGGTTTATAGCAATTAATAAGCTGGTTAATTAGTGAAAAGAGATGAGGAGGCATAGTTGATAGGGATAAATAAGTTGTATAATTCTACTTCTAAGATTGGAGACTAGATGTGTACATTTCTTAATATTCACCAAAGTGTGTGGAATAGCTGCATCAGTCTATAGATGTCTGTCTTCATCCGAGAGCCTGAGTTTAAATGAATGTGCCACACTTTCTCACATTCTTCAGTTTGTTGTGTGACACTGTTCTATTCTGGTAATGCAGTATTTCATCTTTCTACAGTGAAGTGTTTTCTTAATTGTCCATGAAAACTTACATTCCTAATGTATAAACTACAAGGTTGTCTTGTTTAGTGTTTAATACTTTGGCCAGTGAAATAAACTAGTTCTTTGAAGTTGTATGGTTTTGTAAATACTTTGTACCACAGAAAATTTTGCCTCTTTTTTTTTTTTTTTAAGGTTTTTCTGCAATACACATTAGACAGCACATTTGTTTCAGATTGACTAATATGTGTGGATGCTGGAACATGCATAACCACAGGCAATAGAAGGGTTTTAGGCATCTGCTAGCAGACATTGGCTAGCCTTACACATACTGAATGCAGAGCTCTTCCTTTCCTTGAAATTTGTTCTAGATGTTACGAAGAAATAACCTGCAGAACCTTCATCTGCCTCCTGATCTCCTCTTGCATTGTAGCATTTAAGAATACTTTGAAAACACTTTACAGTAATTTAAATTGAAACATAAGCTAGAACAGATAAATAAAATTGCAATTGACAAATATTTGCTGTGACAGTATTTGTTGTGAGTTAGTGTTAAGGGACTAGAATTTTTAAGTAATTCTACTGTTTCTGTTTCGTTTCGTTCCTGATTGTTTCAGTTATCTCTGCAGTAGATGCTCTTTCAAGCTGGGTGTTGGTATAAAAGATGTTTATTATACTGGGAGTATTTTGTCACTTCAGCTAGGAATAATTAGAATTTCAAAGGATCTAAAATGCCATAAAGTGTATATATGTAACATAACGTTTACAATACTGTTGGCTACAAATCGGTGTTAAAGTTAGTTTATCCTTTTATTTTATCCAGCTAATTATTCTAACTGTAGTATGGCTTGAACCCAAAACATAGGCTTATATTGGTACAGCTGAAATTACATAAAGCTTCATACCTTTTTGTGAAAATGATAAAAGGAAAGGGTCTTGGTACTAAAGGCTGTTGTTTCAATACATATGCAGCTTCATACAAATATATATGTATTGGTCTCTGGAGCAACTTACCCAACAAGCATGTTTTTGTGAACTGACATCACACCTTGATACTGAAAGAGTATAAAGAACTTCTTTCCTGATGTGAGTAATAAAACTTTCAGTTGTGCTTCTTTCTTTTCTTAAAAATGGAAAAAAAAACCAAGCAGGATGGGAGAGATGGAGGGCAGAATTATTTGTTGTCCAAATATCCATGGTGCAGGATTGTGGGAGCAGGACAGGGAGGATGTAAGGCAGGAAGCAGATATATTCATTATTGCATTATATTTCTAAAATTGTCAAGCTCTTGGGTTTTGAGCATTATCTGATCAGTTTAGAATGATGAATGAAAAATGTATGTTAAAGAAGTAGAGGTCTTCTAACAGTGCAAGGAAAACCTATTAAGACATCCCATAATTGTAGTGTACCCAGGAGTGGGTAGTTCTAATAAATACACTCCAAATATAATACATGGCTGCAACATTCTGCAGGAAAAATGTTAGGTAGGAGTGAATCATTGCAAATTATAATAAAAAAAGTTGGTTTAATGCTGACATTTATAACATATGTTTTAAATCAAAGGGCACTGTTTTCAATGTTTTCAATGATGGCTTTGAACAACAACATTCAAAGAGTTGAGATAATGACAAGTCTGACCAGAACGTGCTTTAACAATCTGTTATATGTATTTCTTGTATTAGTTGAAAACTCGCTGGTCACAATACTGGTTCATTTGTTCACATGGTGGTGTTACGTAAAGTCTTATATGCATTACGTTTTCCCTATGGCAATGTTTATCACCTCTGGGAGAAGGATTAGGGTGATCATTTTGCTGTACTGGATAGTGTTGACTTATGATATGATTGCAGCACTGGCCATGCTGTTCAGCGGGTGTTGCTATGTGGCGCGGTTGTATCTCTGGCAGCCCCTCTCGGGGTTTATCAGTAATCACATTTAATCTAAGGGAGAAATGGGGGTACACCCTCCCACTCCTTCATTTCCTCTCTCTCATTCAGGCTGATTACAACAGCTTTTGAGAATTTTTAGTATCCTGGGGATGTTCAAGCCAGCATGCTCTTACTGCTGTGTCTCCTGACTGTGTGTCAGGCCTTGTTCAGGGTTATACCAAAATTTTGTAAGAATGCCATCTGAAGATCTGCTGGATAGCCATGGATGGCATGGCATCTGGGAGAATATGGACAAGTATCTAGAGAACTTCTTACCTCTGATGGTTTGGAATTTCACACCTGAACAATTACAGAACCCTGATAAGGTTACAGAATATTTGAGTAATGCTGTAAACTCCCAAAGAGGCACAACTTACTGCACTGTGCTGGGCCCTGGCCAGTATCTACCAAATGCTGCTTGATACTCTGCAGCATTCTCGGGGGGGAAGAGGGGAAAAACAGAATGACAGCTGCTGTAACAACCCCGATCCTGCCAGCAGGCACTGTGGCTACTCAGACCCTCACAATGGGCACTGCAGCTGAACCAGAGAACCAACCTGTGTCAGTATCGATCACCCCTATACAAAAGAAGAAATATACCAAAAAATTGGCTTGCTTAGTGAGGGATGATAGTGACCCAGGGTTGTCAAGAGAACAGGAGAAAGAGACAGAACCAGAGATAATCACCTGATCCCTGAGTGAGCTGTGAGAGGTGAAAAAAGGATTTCAGCCATCATCCAGGTGAGTGCATTGTTACCTGGCTGCTTAGATACTGGTATAATGGGGACAGTAGTTTGGAATTAGAGGGTAAGGAAACCAGGCATCTGGGATTCCTATTTAGGGATGCTGGCATTGACAAGGCAATTAGAAAAATTACAGCAACCCTCAGCCTCTGGAGGCGACTTCTGTTTGGTGTAAGCCAAAGATACCCCTTCAAGGAAGATGTTACATGTCACCCATGGTGGACCACCATGTATCCAGTACCTGCAGGAATTAGCTGTGCTGGAGGTGATTTATAATGATCCAGACAATGAGCCATTACCCACCGATCCAGATGAAGTCCAGTGTACTCATTCCACGTGGCAGAAGTTTCTACGACGTGCACCACCATTGTATGCCAACTCATTAATGCGCTGGAGAGAAGTTGAGGGACAGACGGTGGATGAATTGGCTGGCTGACTCAGGCAATACAAAGGAAGTCTCTCTTCTTCCCAACGGGGTCTGTGTCTCAGCTGTGGAGAAACTGTCCCAGGAGTTCCAATAATTCAAAGAGGATCATCTGCACAGGCCCACATCTCACCTATCAGGAGCAGACGTTCCCTGCTCAAGAGAGCAGATACAAAGGGTACACACCATGGTGTGATCTGTGGTTTTATCTGTGTGACCATTGAAAGGACATAAGGATGTGGAATAAACAACCTACTTGGACCCTAAGGGCATAGGTTCATGAGTTGC